ATTCTGTCTGTCCTGATTTGTGGACATTAAGATCTAAAGAGAAGCAGCATCTCCTAGACAGATCCTGTAAATCAGTGAAAGGGTGGAGTCAGAGTAAAATAAATATGCAAGAGGGGGGGTCACTCCAGCTGCTGGAAGCTGGAGGGGATTTCGCTGGGAGTTGCAGGGAAGTGGGCTGCCATTCTGCTGGCGTTTGACTGGGAAGCGCCATTTTGAATGGCTGCTACTGTAACAACTTCCTCTCTGCCTGTCCTGGATCTCTAGTTTCTATGGCCTAAAACAGAAACGCGTCTGTGTGGCTGCAGCTCCTCAGACTGAGTTTCCACGCCCCGTCCTCTCACCTGCCGGTAGTGGGCCAGCACCCAGACCAGGCGAAAGGTGACGTGCTGAGTTGAGAAGACGATGAGGCTCGCTGCTAGGGATCGTTTGTCCCGCGTCAGGAAGTAGGCCACCTTCATCACGCCGTGGATTATCTGAGATGGTGGGGAGAAAAAAAATCAAAATAAATAAATAAATGGTTAAAGAGGAGCTGACAGGATCAATCAGGCAGCTTCTGACCAGTCAGGCTCATTTAGCTACATGATGCATCCACTGAAAGCAAAGAAGCACAGAAGGCAAAGAGACCCACCTTCATGGTGCAGGATCTGTTCCAAGACTTGACCAGCTCTGCAGCCCGTTGGTCCTGCCAGCTGATGAAGTTGTGAAAAGGAACCCCGGTTCTCCTGTCAACGTTCCAACAACATCAACCAAAGCAGAAACAGGAAGAGGAGAGGAAACTAAACGCAGCGGAAGCCTTGATTTCTCTCTACCTGTCCCAGGTGGTGAAGGTGGCTCTCTGAGTGGAGATGCCCAGGGCCTCCATCTGACACATCTGCACCCCAGCGTCTGTAACAGGAGCGCAGCAGAGAGGCTGATTAAACCGGAAACACCAGACCAATTTAGACAGTGAGGGAAATTCATGCTGATACTAATTAATCGGATTAATCGATTAATTAAAATAATCTTCAACTAATTTAGTAAAGGATTAATCGTTAACCGGAATATAGAGACTCTAAAACATGCCTTTAGCTGACAGAGCGACACACTTAGAGCAGGAATTATACAAAGGTTGTACAAAAAATATATAAAAATTTTGTATTTAAGATAAAAATGTTTTCCGTCTGTCTTAATGCTCTATACAGAACTTCTCCAGTGGAAAAGTTTCACCTGGTTTCATTTTGTAAAAAGTCTTCTTTAAGGAACCTTTGCCTATTTATGGAAGAGGATTAGGGCCACTGGAAAAAAAAAATTTTTTAACTGTTTTTTTTTTATTTTATTTTAGTATAGTATGGGAAAAAAGTCAGAATTCTGACTTTAATCTCAGAATTCTGAGAAAAAAGTCAGAATTCTGAGATTAAAGTCAGAATTCTTCTGACTTTTTCCCATGTTAAACTGAAATAAAATTAAAAAATCAGTTAACTTTTTTTTTTTTTTTTCAGTGGCCCTTATCCTCTTCCGTAGCTATTTGATTATTAATCGATTCATTAAAAAAAATATTCCACAGATGAATGGATTTGCAGAATGATTGTTAGTTGCAGCCCTATTTTTTAAGAATAATTAGCAAATCTCTGGTTACTGTAGTCAAATCATTCCTGTTTATAAATTAATCCTAAAAGAAAACACACAATTTTAGCCAAAGAAATATTCTGGAGAGATTTTTATT